CATGGACATTTGTATAAGAAAATTAGGCCGCTTTCTGTCTTCAAAACACTTATATAATAAATTATTGTGAGTACCTACACGAAGTCGGCTATCTAGTGACAAAACGTGTTGAGTAGTACTTATTATAATATAATATCTAAACCCAAACCACATAATATTATACTCTTCGAATATTATCTCGACCGCACATTTATGATTTTTATATAACAACTTTTTATTCACACCGCATGGGTTCTGAATTTCTGATGCCCTTTTTAGCCCTCAATGTCGGTTATCTGGTATGAAAAATTGGTCAAAACATTTATATAATTTATGTTCAGACATTCTTATGTTGCTTGTATGCCAAAAGTTAGGTTTCAAGTTCTAAAATAAAGCAATTATAATTTTAAAAAATCATATGCACGAGTCGTAATAATAATCGAAAATTAAAATTTCTAATAGCAGCATTTTGATTTATGAGTACATAATATGTATGCTACTAATAAATAATAATAATAATACTCTACAAGTTTAATAATATATTATTGTATTGTATTGTATTTGAATTTGCTCAAACAGCCTCTCTGCTATCGGTTATACAGGGAAAAAAGTATAATAATAATATGCAAAACACGATTTATCGGGCCGTAGACATTTTATATTATATTATAGCTCTTGCTTTTTTTATTGACTAAACTAGATACTAGTATATCTGTAGCTTTATAGCTAGGTATAAAAGTTAAAAAGTTTATTTAAAAAATAAATATTTTTCATTTGATAATTATGTAACATAAATTGCAAAGTATTATTAAAACCAAACTGATATATTTAATGTTATTTTAAGTTTCTCTGTGAACCAAATGATATGCCCAAAGTACGGACCAATCTAGAAAAATATAATTACGACATAGTTCACGCCGAAGAGGAGCACTTGGCACTACAAAAAGTAACATTAAGCGATGTAGAATATGAACATTTAGCAAAATTCATTAATAACGTTCAAGGATTACCTGATGTCATTCGAGTTTATGATAATGTGAATTAATGCTATAATGTAAAATTGTTAACCGTCAAGTAATACAATCTTTTGTTAATAAATTCTATTAACTTATGTGGACGTTTTAAATTCTTTTCTTACTTAACCTATTTAGATAAGTTTTAGATTCTCTACGGAACAATTAATAATATGACGTACTATGTGTATTGTACATTTGTACTTATATATTATTTCAAATAATTATGTTATTTTTAATTTCGTCTGTTATCGTTTTTTCTACAAGAGTCAAGAAGGAGTGATCAATAAGTTGCTTATCTATTAATTATAAAATATTATATCTAGTTATTTCTTTTTAAAAAGGTCAATTTTAAATGTTATCGTTTTATTACGGTCAAAGTAAATTTATCAACGAAGTTCGGACAAATTATATTATATAATAATATATTAATATGGTATATTATCAATTATCATATTTAAAAAACAAATGCATGTACATTTATTTTGTCAAATAAATTAAATAAATTTATATAATGAATACAAAAAACGAGCTTCAATTAATTATTGTTAAGTTATGCATAGCAATGAACAATATGAAAATACCACGTGTAAAATATATAGACATAGGTAATAATATTATGCATTTAGAAAATACAATGTTTTATTTTTTGGTTTTGTTCTTATAAGTTATAGCCTTGGTATAGGAAATAGGTTAACTTATACTTATACAATTTAAAATTATTATTATTTGACACACATACATAAACACTTGTGCTATCAACCAATACTAGATGAGTTGAGACTCGAGTAATTAATTAATTAATAATTATTTTTAAAATGTCATATCCGTTTTAAATAATTAAAAATTTAAAAACGCACACCATTAATAATCGTACCTATATATGGTGGCTATATGTATTGATTGTAATAGTTGCATTATTTAATAATATAATAATACCGAATAATTTTATTTTACTATATTAATTTTTTTTTATCACATATTTTGGAAAAACTTTCAATTTATTTAGTACCTAACATTAGTAACAATACACATATAATACGGGCTCCTGACTCAGATTCTTGACTTTTAGGGCTTCAATTATCAAATGTAAATTACGTTCCTTCGTGTATTAATTAAACATGTTCATGAATTTATTGAAATATATCCGAAGAGTGTGAGTATCCGAAATGTAACATCATCGCCTGCCACTCGCCATATTCAACAAGTTATTAGCTAATTAATAAAGGTACTCTTTCTCTTATTACGAATTCTTTAAATTTAGGTATTGTAGACTATTAGCTTTCAACAAACACGATAAGCTTATATGTACCCAAATATATTATAATATGTTTATACCTACTGCACATGATATTGTCACATCATTACAAGCAATCAATGTTGGTCAATATACTTTCATTACTTATTAGTTATTAGTCATTACCAATAGAAGGTACCTACTACCTAATTAAAAATTATGATAATGGAAAAAAGAAATAATAATAAAACAATTAAAAATATTTTAATATAATACCCAACCCTCGAACTTTGATGGCGGGATGGTGGACGTTCGTCGTGTATTATTGGTGTAACTTGTGGATGTATGTTTGTGGGGGTGGCTGAAGCACATCATAATTGTTTGAAGCCCACTCATATATTTTGTGTAAAAAGTATAAATGTATGTACCTCCATAATATTGTTAACTTAATATTTGTTATAGGTACAATTAAAGAAAAAACATTGGCTATAATGTTTTATGTTATAAACTAACACAACAAATATTTAATAGTGTTATAACTTATTAGTTATTACTATACAACTGAGCGAGGGAAAAACGTCTGAACTACAAATCCCTTACAACTTCATCTAACTTTAAGGCCTATAAATTAGTTTCACTTATATGCGAGCACCTCAACTTGAAAACCTCGTGGTTAATATAGATAGATCATAGGTATACTATAATAATTGTTTGTCACAATTCACAAGTCACAACGTTGTGCCGAAAAAATATTGTTGGTTGTTTAAGATCGATATTATAGATAATATTATACACAATACTCTAAAATAGTGTGTATTAGTGTCAGGCACGTCACCAAGGAGGGGGTCTTAGAAAAGTCAGTGGTCCCCTTAATTTTATTTTAAAATATTATGGCTATTAATTGTTAGTTTAGTACAGTAACACATTAATATTTAAATTTGTAATAAACTTAGACTAATAAACTCATACGATTATAAACTTCTACAAAGCCTGTGTTATTCCATATTTTTTAAAAATGGTATTATGTTTAAGGCAATTAATTAATAGAATATAAATAAAATAATTCATTCATAAATTCAAAAAAATAATCAAACTAGGGATTTTTTTTGTAAATTATGATCTCTTTTAATATTGCCATCTCTTTACCTAATTAAAATTAACAGCCTACTAATGTGATAATTTATTTGGGTCTGTTGTCAATTGAAAAACATATTTCAAAATTAATTAATTTAGATGAATTTACTGAAAGATTTCCAGTAGGTACCTAAATCTTAGAAACAGTCAAACAGATGAATTATCCTTGTATAATAATATTGTTTAAGATGTACAATTGTACTTATATTAATATATCATAAAAATATAATAGTTAACCAATACATGCAATATATTACAAAATATAGTTTTTTTTTTTTTATAAACATTGTATGATAACTGATAAGAGGAGGAGTGGTAGGGGGTACAACAAATAGAAAGGGGCCAAAAAATATTGGCCCCCTTATGGAAAAATGTCTGGCTATGTGCCTGATTAGTTTACCCAGTTGACGGAACGCCATTTCTGAACTGAATAATCTTTATTTTGATTTTATACTATATTATTATTAAAACATGAGGCGATTTCTTTGAACAGCTAAACAAAGCTATATCTGAAGTTCTACTGGACCCATGTCCGATTCGATTTGTTGTTAATTATAATCATTGGCGCAAATAGGTGGGGCTTGGGGGGACTTAGTTCCCCTCATATTTCTGCCAAGTTCCCCCAGTTCAAAAGTCAGTAATTAGTACTGAGCATATATAATTTATAGAAAGTATTATAGGAGATGCTTTAGTGCCCCAAAATAATTTTTCTATTGGCGCCTATGATTATAATAGGTACTATTTCAATTCATGGCTGTGACATCAACAAAATATGTAACTCAGAAAACTGTAAAATTATTAAATAAGTGGATGGAATTTGATACTTAGGAGTAATATTTGATATTAACTTGAGATGGAGTTTACATATTAATAACTTATTAGATAAGCTTTGTTTCAAAACTTATAAGTTAGTCAAAGTCAGAAATATAGTTCCAATACATACAATGAGAATAATTTACTATGCACCGTATCAGTTTAATTTCCAATATGGTATATTAGTATGGGGTGGTCATACTAAACGCACCAAAATAATATTGTTGGAATTGTCCAAATAAATGTAGGTACTATTGCAGAATCTACAAATGAAAATTACAGGGTGAAAATGTGGTGTTTATACTTATATAAAAAATAGTAATAATGCATTTATTGAAGCATGCTAAATTAGATAATCACTACAAGAACTTAGGCAATAAAAGATAATTTATAGATTTGACTTACCCGTTAAATATACCAATAAGTCTCTTGGTCAGTCTTTTGTACACCATTTGAATAAAAATGTTTGATTCTATGCCATATGAATTCAAAATAAATACAATAATGGGTGATACTATGATTATTAAATATTATGTAGTACATACAAATATTTATTTCTGGAATTGGAGAAGAACATTTTTAGTATGTTAAGTCTATTTGGTTTTTCTTTGTTTATTTATTTTTAAATGTAATGTTATATTATGCTTATATAGTTGTAAACTGTTTACAATTATATTGTTTAGATTGTTTATATTATTATCATTATCTTATTATTTTCTTATGTTTATTATGTTATGGTTTTTTATATAATTTAATATTTTTTAACAATAATAACTGCCTCTCTCCAACACAAGCTTAAAGGAGGGAGATTAATTAAAGTTGTAATTTTTATAATGTCTTTTTTGTTGGATTAATAAAAAAAACTAATGAAACCAATGAGTACAAAAAAAACCAGTTTTTTTTCCACAAAACTTCTGAGCGCCAATATCTATCATATTTTTATTTAAAAAAAGTCAAATTATGTGAAGATCGCTTAGCAGAGACAGTAAGTGGTATAATCCGTTAGCACTTTGTCTGATAATACCAAGTTCCAACATCAATAGAAATGTACAAATAATGTGTTCGTTTATTGTATATTTGTAAATGAAAAGTGTGAGTAAGTAGTTCAAATATTGTAAGCTATAACCTTTTGACTGTTTGATATGAGCTCGTCCGGTGATACATTTTTAGAAATTGCTTTCGTAGGACTAAACATATTTTTCAAACCATTTATTACCAACGGTCAATATACAGAATAGAACATGGACTAATAATATAGACTAATAATATTATTATCTATAATAATTCTATGGAATTGAACAAAAACTACAAAACCACGAAGATTTAAAAAAATTTAGTTATTTATTTATTTAATTCTGAGGTAAATTTAAAAACAATATTATGATTTGTGGAATTGTAACAACCATGTTATCTAAGGAATCAAGGCTGTTCTGGTACCCTAACCACAGTTTATTTGGGATTGTATTTTTTTGAAAATTAAAAATTATAAAAATGGGTATTACTTGATAGCATTTCATTATGATTTATGATTGCGATTTAGGAGTATGCCATTGGCATTTACAATATTGACATAGTAGTATAGTACTAATAGTTCATATTTCATAAAATCATAACATAAAAGTATGCACATTGTACAATATTAGTATTACTATTTGTCTATGAATCATAAATGTCTGAAGTTTTGCCAGTTGCAATCAAGTTGTTTAACGATGTCCACTTAATAAAATAAAAACAGTGAATGAGTTAAACATATTTTATTAGTTAGTATCAGATATTTTTTAATAAAACATTATCATATTAAAGTATATTTTAATAAACATTCAGCATAGGTAATACATTGAAAATCTTAAAAATAAATTTAAAATTACAGTAGTATGTTATGAGTATGTCTTACAATGGCTTCAGATAATTGTAGCATTGCAGCGGTCAATATATCCCAATCCTCTTTTAAATGTTCTGGAATCTCCAATGAAGTGGAGCACCACATTAAGTCCTATGAGAATAAATGAATAATTATATTACAAGACACCGAACAAGACATTCCTTCATATCAATGTTATCATGAGCGTTCAATAATAACAGAAGGTATAACGACGTATCATTTATGTAAAATAGTAATAATAATAATATACCTCTCTCACTCTACGTTCTAAAGTTTCGGCCAAATGTTGCCAGTAAGTATAGTCCTCATTCGTCATTATCCTTTTCCGACACTCACTGGCGCGTTGCCGACGCTTCTCTAACGGTGTATGGAAAAACAAAAAATTAAATAACGAAGACGAACGTTTAGGTAGGTACCACAGAGGTTATAATCTAACCTGATTCGGCTCCGACGACCACTTGACTGGACTTCTTTATTTTCTGTTTGTCGGCCACTGGTTGAGGAGTCGTCACAGTGTTCTCTTTCATCTCCTGCTTTTGTTCCTGTAATATAATCGAAACGTCATCTTGTTATAATACCTGTTATAATTCATTATTATTATGTCGACATCGACCCGAGTTGAGATTTAAAACACGCTTATCTTACCTTTACCTTAATCTCATACTTATTGTTGGCGAGTGATTCCTCGTGATCCATATTGCCGTTGAAGTTCATTTTTAACTCTCGTAAATCGTGTCCAAAATCGAAAACACGCAAATGGCGAATGTTCAATGCTTATAAGCAATATAATCAACAAAATGATAACTGATAAGAAAATAATTTTATCAACAAGAACCGCCACGCACCACGATTATAAAGAACTGGTTATGCAACGCCGGCTGGATCGGCGGTCAGAACCACGGACTAAGATAGAATGGACTGATATCGAATGTCTTATCAGTGTGACACAAATGTTTCTCTAGACAAGGTACCAGAGTACACTACATTCAGCGCCATCTATGGAGAAATAATCGTAACAATTTTATTTTTCTATTCATTAGTCACTATTTCTTACGCCTACCTATAAATAGCAAAAAAAAAATGTCAAAACTATACCATGCATAAATAATGCTAATATCAAATGAAATTGTCAAGTATACGGTTATTCGTTTTTGAGTTACACCAAAAAATAATAATAGTTTTTAAGTGCATAAATACATGTAACTTTCGTTAGTTTTCAGTGCATTTATATGAACCCGGGAGCTAGACTTGGCATTGTTCACCTGGCGCTTCTTATGGCTGTTGTGTATAGTGCTTTGTGGCTTTTCGGCGTCATTTTATAATACTATATTATGATAAATATGGCTATGTGACCTCAAATTATTTCGCAATAAATCCTTTGCCGCTATCTAGTGATTAGAAATGGAAGTAGAACATAGAAACGGCAATTTAAACGGTGAGCGCCCAGAAAATACCGTAACGCAACCGAGCATACAAGTTTTCTCGTGATCTATGGGGTCCCCCGCATGCAGCGCTCATATCCGTTGAAATTCAAACTAATAAAAATTGTTGTTATACATAAATACAATAAAAATGTATATAATGATCATATGATATATACAATTATAAAATCCACTAGAAGCGCTAGCAACGGGGGTCCGATTTAAATCCAAAGCCGTCTTATCATACCTCGATGGGCAACCATACTATCTTAAACCGTGGTGAGTACCGAAACGTAGTTGCTCGAGTCGCAGTATTTCAATAACGAAAAAAAAATGAGCCAAAGCCAGCGTTCTCAGGATCAACTGTCACGAGATGAACCGGAACCGGTTAAACCAATTAGGAGCTATTCAAACCGTAAGAAGCGTAGCAGCACTGGCTATAAGCCGCTCCGTCCAATGTCACGTGAAGAAGTAAGAGCTTATTTTAAAAGAAAAGTATATTCAGGATATATTGAGGGGGCAATGCTGATTTACGAAGCTAAACAAAAACCACAGTCCTGAGAAGTCCACACCCTTTCGGGTATATTATTATATATTTACCTAATTATGTAATATAAATACCCTATGAAGTCTGTGTCAATAAATATGGTATCTAAATAAAACTGTTTTACCTTTATTTTTACTAAACGTGATGTGGATTGCTAAACTGCTCCACACGACATCTGCAACTTTTTTCATATCATTGTGATCACGAACTACTACATAGGACTGGACACTCCTGGCAGGGGGAGGGAGGGCCACCGGTCACAAAGTTGTACCGGTATGTACGTTTGCGACTGTGTTAAGTAGCGAACGTACGACCACCGTACAACTTTGTAGCCACCTTATTTTATACAGTGTCCAGTCCTATGAAGTAGTTCGTGATTGTGATATTATAGGTACTTGGCACTTGCTATATTATGTGTGGTACCTATATACAGTTTTGGTCAAACGGTGGGGGGATTGATCACCCTCCCCCACCCATGACTTTTTCAATATTTATAGTAATATAAATTATAAATTAGGTAGGTAGGTATATTTCAGGTAATATAATGATCAAAATAGTGCATGTTAAAAAATGCAGCCATGTCCCCACCGTTACAAAATCATTTGACTACCACTGGGCAAATGTAGGTAAAATTGGTACTCAATAATTTAATATTATTTATTTATACGACTTAACTAGTATTGATGATAGAGAAAACCCTTTACTCTTTAGTATTCCTATAAATTAGTAAATATAATAATATGTTCACAAAGCCTAGTGCTTATAATAACTCACGACGAACATCATTGAAGCTTAATGAATAAATGCAACACTTACATATAAAATACCTAGGTTTTCATATAAAATATATGTGTACCGTGTATTCAGGTAAGTATATAATAAATTATTTATATATTTAGAAATTATAAGTCAGATCAAAATAAAATATCATTGAGAAAGTTATAAAAAACAATCTGATTTAATACAATGTAATATAATATCAAGTGACAAGTAGGTATGAGCTATTAATTTAAATTAATTTAAATATTTGCTTATAGTAACTTAATGATTTACTGTTTCGTGTTTTTAGTTCACACAAATACACTATACACATTGTATTTATATCATGGTTTTCAAAACTGAAATATAATAATATGATGTACTTACCTACGAGGAACTAGGATATCGAGCCAATCTATTGAACATTTTGAGAAGTTGATTTTCTTTAAAACAATTCTACAGACCAAGTATACATTATAAATATTGCAATTCAAGTAAGTTTTAAAAACATTGATATTAAAGGCAATACTAAGACTTAAAAGTAAGAATATTCATGTGGGCACCTCATGGCAATTTATTGATTTATTAATTTAATAGTGAGTTATCTGTACGACACTATTACTACATGAATACATTATATTGTCTGATAACATTATGTTATATTATAATATATATAATTGTGTGTGTAGAATTATATTTGTGTCCAAAGAAGGGCTCAGCCAGTTAAGTCAAAATAAATAATAAATAACTATGTTAAATAAATTATATTAGTTCATTAAAGTACCAATAATTAGCTTTAAAAATAAAATATAATTAAATATACCTTTAGAAAATATTTTTATTCTTTGTTTATTAAAGCTAACATTACAAAATGGGATCTGCTCTACACAAATGTGTCATGTTGTTCATAGGTCAGAGAGAAAACAAATAGTGTACTGACTTATTATTTTAAACAAACTCTTAATTTATAGGTAATATATTGCGGAACCAGTATCCAATTTTAATAGCACGGAGCATCCGAACATATATTTCAAAGAACACCTAACAAGTTTGGAAATTCAGAGTTCTGAAAATTGGACGTGATTCATTTTAAACATTTCGGTTTGGTAACTTTATGACACAAAATACTAAATAAAATTCTATTGAAGTGTGCATTTATGTGAACATTGTAAACATAATTTTTAGTTTACGAACAAAAGTTGTATACCTAAATACTTAATTTTTTATTTACAATATAATCATAGTTGTCCAAAGGGATGGGGATTTTATATTGTAGTACCGAAGAAGAGTATCTATTAAATTTTATTTATATAATTATAATAATAATAATATTTAATAATAATATTTCTTTATTACGGAAATAAATTCCAATTACAGTTTTTTTTTTCATATAATATATATATAATATATTGTACACGTACATTAACAGTAAAATGATTTATATATAACAATAATTTTAATAACAATGATAATAATAATAATAATAATAAACATAACTTAAAATTTAAAGAGCAAATAGGTATTAAGAGGACTCCACACCCGCATGTGTTGTCTCCGTCTTACAAATGTACAACATAGCAAAAACTCTTTTGCGAGGGACAACTTTTCTCGCACCATATTTGTTGTAGAACTACCAAATTTTCACAGCACTTAAAGAAGAACTTTATCTGTGCAACAGCGTGCTCTTTTTTTCAATAACATATATACAATACAAGTTATTTGCTTCTAAACATTATATTTTTTAATTTGCTTATAAAAAATGATTGGATGGTGGTATTGAAAAAAAAGAGCAAGCTGTTGCACAGATAAAGTTCTTGTTTAAGTGCTGTGAAAATTTGGTAGTTCTACAACAAATATGGTGCGAGAAAAGTTGTCCCTCGCAAAAGAGTTTTTGCTATGTTGTACATTTGTAAGACGGAGACAACACATGCGGGTGTGGCGTCCTCTTAATATCATACAATAAATATTTAAATATTTAAATTTCTATAATAAAAAATACAATGAAATAAAAACGAGATATTAATTTTATTTCTAGTACCTAATTTGTTATGTATTTCTTAGAACATTTGACATAAAAGTATTTGGAGAATTACCAAAAAAATCAATATTTTTTATAGATTTGCCTGTGGACATTAAAATATTTGATGGAGAATTTCGCAAATAGTTTGTAGCTGAATGTTTTATGTAGAATAAATTTACAGATCGGTGGTTTATTGAATTTATTTTAAAATTTATATTTTGTAGTAATTCCGGACAATCAATCATATTATTTAATAATTTAAATAAAAATTTTGATTTAATTTGAATAAATCTTTGTTCTAGTGATTGCATTTTAAAAAAACCGGATTGTAACATTATAATCAGAATGGGGTGCTCTATAAACAAAACATTGATAGCATAAAAATCTGATAAAATTTTTTTGAATTTTGTTTAAATCTTGGATTTGCGTTACTAAATATGGATGCCAGATTAGGAGTGCATAATCAAAATGTGAACGGATTAGTGAGTAGTATAATGTTTTTAACGCAGATTCATCTCTAAAGTTTCGACATGTTCGTTTTAAAAAACCTAACTTTTTTGACGCTTTATTTCTAATATAAAGTACATGGTCCTTAAAAGATAGTTTGGAGTCAAATTTTACACCAAGATCGTGTACTGTAGAAACTTTTAATAAATTTATATTACCCAACGAATAATTTAACTGAATAGGTTGTCTTTTTAAAGAAGATGTAATATAGAAACATTTTTTTTAAATTTAAGTGCATAGCATTTTGCTGGCACCATTTATACATATTATTTAAATCTAATTGTAGTTCAATAGCGTCTTTTTTAGTTTTGTGCAACTAATATTTTTGAATATTTTTGCATCATCAGCTAATAATAATATTTTAGAATGAGAGATTACATCTGATATATCAACTATAAAAAGGCAAAATAATATTGGGGATAAATGGTCTCCTTGGGGGACACCGGAAGTAACGAGAATTTGTTCAGAGACATAATTTTTATATTTTACAATTTGGGTGCGTCCAGAGATGAAAGAATAAAACAAAGAAAGAAGTGGTTCAGTGAATCCATACGTTTTCAATTTATTTATTAATAATTTATGATTAACCCTATCGAAGGCTTTTTCCATATCGGTATATATGACGTCAGTTTGTGATTGAATTTCAAAAGAATCCAAGATTGCGTGTTTAAATATGCACAAATTTGTTATTGTTGATTTATTTTGCCTGAATCCATGTTAGTCATTTGATAATAATTTATTGCATAAAGGTGTGATAATATTATTTACCAATTTTGAAAATAATTTAGGTATTATTGACAATTTAGATATAGGACGATAATTGTTTATTAAACATCTGTTGCCTTTTTTGAAAATCGGGGTTATATATGAGGATTTCCATTGTTCTGGAAAGATATCTGATAACAATGACTTATTAAATAAAGAGGTTATAGCTGGAGTGAGTATGAATGCACACTTATTTAAAAATAATGGCGAAATTTCATCAGGACCAATTGCTGTTTTTGTTTTATAACTAATATTCCAAAGTTCATTGAAAATATCTATCTGTTTTAATTCAATTTTATTAATTGTTTCTATATTATTTTGTTTTAAATTAATTACATAACATTATTTGTTAGCCAGGTTTCAGTAAATATAAAAATATCATGTAGTGCACACGGGAGTTGAGATTTCAAATATGACAATTTATTATTTAAACTACGGACGTTTTGATAGTAAAAATTTAAGCTGGTGGGTGGTGTATTTTTCAGTTTTTTGAAGTGTTAATGATTTTTGCCTTTTTTAATACCTTTAACGTACTTGATAATTAAATTTTGTTCACCTTTTTCTCTGCGATTTTGTAACGTGTTTCTAAGATTTGCCATTTCATTTCGCTGTTTGGTTGTTTTGTCTGAAGAGAAGTGAATATTTAACCATTTCGTTGAATTTTTTAGGATTTGTGCTCGTAAAATAGAGAAAACATCTGATACACCATCAGACACCTGTTACAAGTTGTATTTTAATAAACATTTAATAGCTTATAATAACATCAATTTATTAAAAATTACATCCCAAAGTTTCATCCAGTATCTTTAAAGTCTATAGATCAGAAATTACCTCAACTTGGCACATAATACATTATACAACAAAACTACACACATATATATTGACTATGTTACTAACTGTTTACCCTCCAAAGCGTTATCATAATAAATAAAATATAAATAACACTTAATTTGCAATAGATATGTTACAGTTACTTAAAAATATATGTTTACAAGAATTACAATGAAATGTATTTTTTTGTTTCTTATAGTCAGCAAAAGAGGGTTTCCAAGTTCCAGATAAACTAGGATAGCAATGTATAACATGGACTACTCAATTACGTTTGTTCAGTTCATACATATATTTCAACATTACCAGTTTCAGATAGATAAGATTACACAACTGAATAATGCTTAATTTTATCATTTTTGAAATTAATTATGATTTCCGAGGAATGAAACATTCAACTATTGTTAAGATTGTAAGAAACAAACTTATTATACTTCACATTATTTAATATGAGCTGCTTATGTTCAGTATTAATAATATGCGACGGTAGATTGAATAAATGTAATAACGAAAATACTACTTTATTCTCATCGCCAAAGGAAGAATCTATCCGTAAATCGTGGACAAATATTGTTAACAACTGTTATGGCAATAACCGAAATGTTTCGTACAATCGTACTTATGTCATAAACATTTTAGTGGTGATCACATGTGTTTTAATCGCAAAAATTATTTTTTTTTATTTAAAATTATTTATTTTGTTACTATGAGAATGACACAACATTCACGTATATCCTACCAAAAACTAGTCAAAAATGACTAAAAAAAAAAAAAAACTTTCTAAATTGGTTGCAACGTAGTAATGCCCATTTATTTTTTTGGAGATAATACTTAATAGTGAATATAAAATATAAAAAGATTGACATTGATAGTAATTTTTTTAATTTTTGATTCTTGTTCAGTCATTACTATATAGTTACTATTAGTCACTACGACAGTACGAATTATCACATAAAAGAATTTACAACAGTGCAGTATAAAATAATGACACTAGAGAGCAGTTACGTAGCGAACGTACGACCACCGTACAACTTTGTAGCCACCTTATTTTATACAGTGTCCAGTCCTATGAAGTAGTTCGTGATTGTGATATTATAGGTACTTGGCACTTGCTATATTATGTGTGGTACCTATATACAGTTTTGGTCAAACGGTGGGGGGATTGATCACCCTCCCCCACCCATGACTTTTTCAATATTTATAGTAATATAAATTATAAATTAGGTAGGTAGGTATATTTCAGGTAATATAATGATCAAAATAGTGCATGTTAAAAAATGCAGCCATGTCCCCACCGTTACAAAATCATTTGACTACCACTGGGCAAATGTAGGTAAAATTGGTACTCAATAATTTAATATTATTTATTTATACGACTTAACTAGTATTGATGATAGAGAAAACCCTTTACTCTTTAGTATTCCTATAAATTAGTAAATATAATAATATGTTCACAAAGCCTAGTGCTTATAATAACTCACGACGAACATCATTGAAGCTTAATGAATAAATGCAACACTTACATATAAAATACCTAGGTTTTCATATAAAATATATGTGTACCGTGTATTCAGGTAAGTATATAATAAATTATTTATATATTTAGAAATTATAAGTCAGATCAAAATAAAATATCATTGAGAAAGTTATAAAAAACAATCTGATTTAATACAATGTAATATAATATCAAGTGACAAGTAGGTATGAGCTATTAATTTATTAGCCTACTGGCGGACAATATATTATAAACAATAATAATATATCAGTTCATATGGCCATACCACAGATATATAATTGTATCAAAATATATCAGTGGGCCACACTCACTCGTGTTATTCACAAAAATGTTATGTACGAACATTCTATACATTACATGAAAACACTAAAATACAAAGCACAACTGTAGAACTGTACAAGAATAAGATTGTCGGTAGTCGGTACATTTTCACTATATTTTTTTTTACGGGATTTGTTTTTCCGATTACCGTATTGTGTTAAGGGCTTGTATAGGCAACATATCATACACATTCTTATCAATGTCTGGCTAGGTAAATAATAATATTTTTATTGATTAGTTTGTAGTTTAAGATCTTTTGGATTACACTTTTACAGACATTTTGTTATGTCTATACTCTATTTTCTAACTCACGTCTCAAAGTTGATTAGTTTAAACACGACACACGTAAGTAAGCAGTTGTCCGAGTTCTCTAAAATTTTAAATATTTGCTTATAGTAACTTAATGATTTACTGTTTCGTGTTTTTAGTTCACACAAATACACTATACACATTGTATTTATATCATGGTTTTCAAAACTGAAATATAATAATATGATGTACTTACCTACGAGGAACTAGGATATCGAGCCAATCTATTGAACATTTTGAGAAGTTGATTTCCTTTAAGACAATTCTACAGACCAAGTATACATTATAAATATTGCAATTCAAGTAAGTTATAAAAACATTGATATTAAAGGGAATACTGAGACTCAAAGGTAAGAATATTCATGTGGGCACCTCATGGGATTTTATTGATTTATTAATTTAATAGTGAGTTATCTGTATGACACTAATGCTACATGAATACATTATATTATTGTCTGATACCATTATGTTATATTATTAGAAAACAAATAGTGTACTGACATATTTTAAACAAACTCTTAATTTGTAGGTAATATATTGCGGAACCAGTATCCAATTCTAATAGCACTGAAATACCGAACTGAACCACTGTAATACCGAATAAGAGCATCTATCAAATTGTTTATATTATTATACTATTAACTAGAGATGTTCTGAGTAAAAAATCTGGTACTAAGCCGGGTACCGAGTACTGGCCGAGTAAAATTGTTTATACTAACCGGGTATCGAGTATTGGCCGAGTAAAATTTATAGTACTAAGCGGGTATCGAGTATTGGCCGAGTAAAAATTTTTATACAAGCCGGGTATCGAGTATAGGCCGAGTAGAAATGTAAATACAAAATAGGAATTATACTAGTATTAAAGTATCAACTAACAATTACTGATTAAAAATTATTAATAATATAATTTATTTAAGTCTTTAAACAGTTTAAGCACTCAGTAGTCAGTACTGGTACTGGCCACTGGGTAGTTCTGCAATTATAATAAATTAATAACAAAACTTAGCCAAACACTAATACAAATTAAGTAACACTAATACCAGTTGTTTAGATATTAGGCAATAGCTATGTGCAGTTTTGTTCAATAGACAATAATATTGAATAATGAATGAATATTGTAATTTGTAACTAAAAATTCAAATGTAAATACTAAAACAATAAATTAATAAATACTAAATAGTAAATACCACACAATAGTATATTACATATAATGTATTGTGACAATACATTTTTATAATTCTTTATTTAAAATTTAAAATCTCTGAAATTTAGTCTTTAAACTGTTTAAACATAAAAATAAAACTTAATAGTTTAATAAAAATTAACAAATTAAATTATAATAGGTATCCTGTCAGTAGTTAACATTATTATATATTATCATTATACAATAAAAATATTTAAAATTTGTTTATATTATGATGAATAAACAAAAGTTGTTCAGCATTTTGAGGCTGAAGTCTATTTCTTTTAGCTTCATATACTAATCCTGCCTCTGAGAACGACCTCTCAGAATAAACACTGGATGCTGGCGCTGATAAATATTTTTGTAATAGTAATTTATTTCCAATCAATGGAAAACTTTCAAAATTTATTTTCCACCAACTTAATGGATCTTCATCAATCGAAACACATTTCATATTACAATATTTTTCAAATTCGACAACTAGATCCTTATTGAAATTATGATAGTCATCCAAATCTGTATAGTTAAGAGACATAGGTTCTTCAGTTTGGTCGATATTTGATGTTGTTGCAATTTCTTTATAAAAATCCCATAATGACTCTCTACTTCCAGCATTCAAATTTTCTACTGCAGGTATATAAGTACTAGTAGGTTCATGTTCGATATTTGAATTAAGATTGTTGAATTTGGATATTATTTTAAATATTATTTTTTTCATTATTTGTTTATTTTCTGGTTTAAAAAATAACAATTTAAACCTTGGATCTAGAAATGTGGCTATAATAAGGTTGTCATCTTTGATTACTTTTTCAAAACGCTTTGAAAGACGAGTGAGCATAATATCCTTAGTAGTTCCAACTCCAAAATGAGAAGTGTTAGGTCGATTCAAAAAAGTATCTAATATCATAATTGCAGGTATAACTTCACTAATAATAGATTTATTTGAACTTATACGTTTGGTGAGCTCCTCAAAAGGCTTTAGTAAATGTATTAATGATTCCATTAATAACCAATCATTGGGGTTAAAAGTCGGTAGAGTTGATTCAACATCACTTATATATACTAAAATGGCAGTTTTTAATTGTAACAATCGTTCCAACATATAAAAACTGGAATTCCACCTGAAAAAATAACTAATATTAATTTTATTTGTATTTTTAAATTTTTACTTAATGAAGATTGTTGTCACTTATCTATATTAATAGGGGAGACATATTTGTTAAAAATAAACAAGCTGTGCGCTTTAAATACAAATTAGGTAGACCGAATTATAAAAAATAGAATGTTCAATTTTAACTTGTATTTAATATTTATACCAACCTAGTGCAAATATCCTGAATAAGTTTCTTAGGCTGAGTGCCAAGTTTAATTTGAATAGACTTAAGTTTATCAGTGGCAGATGATGAATGGTGAAAATGTGTAGACACTTTTCTAGCACGAATCATTAAGTCTTGAACAGATTTTTGACTCTTTATCGATTCGGTTACAAGAAGGTGAATAGTGTGTAGAAAGCAACCAGAACTGCATAACGAAGCATCATCGACACCTTTTTTCATATTTGCTCCGTTATCTCTAAAAAAAATACATTATAAGTACTTTAGTTAAAAAATATATGGAATTCCTACTTTCTAGGATAACACCTAGAATAGGTACCAAAATATGTCATATTTAACTTACAGTTTTCTAATTTTCTATATTAATCAGTTAATATATTAATTTAATAAGTTAAAAAATAAGTTAATTTGTCCACTGTCCTGCAGCCTTGTGTTATTATACTTAGATAATTAGAAGAAATGTGGTATATTTTGTACAAATATATTTATTAAAAATACAAATCTTTGCCCTGGACAATGACAGGCGGGACAGCTAGTTATACATAATCGCTTAATATTAGGTAGTTGTTTCCCACTTGGCACTCACCGTACTAATAAATGAATCTTATTTTCTAAATCCCATTCCTGCAATAGTCTTTCTAATGTATCTTTAATGGCGAGGCCTGTATGTCTTCCTGGGAAATGTCTAACATTTAAAACACAATGATGTTGTATCATATCATTAGAAATCCAATGACATGTAAAACTTAAAAAACTTTCATTGTTGTGGCTGCATGTCCAAATATCAGATGTAAGCGATACAGTATGAACCTGCTTCAGCATATCCATAATTTTTAATTTAAGTTCAACATACATTTCTGGAATAATATTATCAGTAAAATATTTGCGACCAGGTACCTGAAAAAAGAAATTTACATTTATTTATTATTTAATATAATAAAAATAGAAACAAGCTTACTTTATATTGTGGTTTAACAATTTCCATGAGTTTTTTAAACCCTGTCCGTTCAACTAATTTATACGGTTCATTGTCAACACAAATCATTTCACCAATTGCTTTATGAATTACTTTGGATTTTTTATCATTTATATCCCAACATTCTGTTTTGGTCATTGATTCGTAAATAGATAGTTGATGACTTTTAGTCTTAATATCACATGTAGCAGATTTAACATTTAAATGCTTTTGGCCTTTTTTTGATTCCTTAGAATAATAGATACAAAATATTAATATATTACTTTTTAATCTGCATAATACCTAACCATTAACCAACTATAATTTTATAATTATTATAATTTCTTAACTTACTTCAGATTTTAACATTTCTTTGTACAATGGTTTATGTTTTGATTCTAAGTGTTTCCTCATAGAGGAAGTAGTCATCTTTTTCCCCAATCCTTTGTATACCTTTTGCTTGCATTGTTTACAAATAACTCTACTCAGGTCACATGTAGACTCTTCAAAATATTCCCAAATTAAACTTAATTTTTTTGTTTTTAATAATGGCTCTATTAAAATATAAAATAAATAAATAATAATAATCAGGATTAATTTTAAATTGACCAGTAGGTAGCTCTGGTACCAATTATTTATTAAGGTACACCGGAATGCTCCAAATACTACCAAATATTCATAATACAGTTGAGATTCTGAATCTTGGTTTTATTTTAATTGTTAATTTACTTTTACCAAGTGTGTTTAATAAAATGATGGACTACCTATCTAATATAATATGTGTAAAAAAACAATTAATTTTATTAGTTATTGTAAATGGCTAAACTGTGGTTATACTTAATACTTAATATTTAATACTTTAATAAGTATTTGGTTAGCCTATAACATAATATAATATTATGTTATATGGTTCCTATTTAAGTAGGTATTTATAATTGTTTTATTTTAAAATAGCTCTTTAGTCTCTATTAAATAATGTAAAATTGATATTCATATTTTTACTATTTAGTATTTACATATAGATAAATAGTGAATGTGTGATTTTTAAAGCTACAATTCCCAGGTAATAAAACAAATAAAAAATAATAGAGTTTAAAATTACATAAAATGTATTACTTACCGATACATGGCACTTCCTCGTCCTCGGCCTCGTCCATTGGATTCATATTCATTGAATGAATTTAAAAAAGTTAAAACAAAAAAGCAATAGGTAGTAGGTAGGTACTACAACTATACTAGATTACTAGCTGCGCAGTGTAGACTACTAGACTGTAAAGTGATTACTGCAGATTAGTGATTACTTATACTTGAGAATATTTGTATAGTAATAATTTATATTTTATTTCGGGTTTTGATTGCAGATTGTTATCATATAATTTATATATAAACATTAGACGGTAAACACGAGATTTATTTTTGTAATTCATAGAAGAAAAACATGATTTGTTTATTATCAACTGGCTATCGTAAATCGGTTCAGTTATTCTAAGTAATATAATAATTAATAAGTACCAAAATAAATTATAATTCATTACCCTAGAATTTTAGATTTCCCCCGTTATGTTAATTATAGGTATTACTATATTTATAAATAGATTGTCGTTTGCCATTGGATAAGAGTCGAGTAAAAATGTAGTATTTCGCCGGGTACCGAGTAAGAGCCGGGTAAAAATGTAGGTATTACGCCGGGTACCGAGTAATGCCGGGTAAAAATGTAGATATTACGCCGGGTTTCGAGTAAGAGCCGAGTCTTAAATATGATATCGAGTACCCGGCCATCGAGTATTTGCCGGGTACCCGGAACATCTCTACTATTAACTATCAAGTATAAAATTATGTAAACAATGAATTACATAATATACTAAGTATGTTTATACTTACATGCCTATAATAATGTATAAATATCAATATTACCAAAGGATAGAATATTATTGATGATGTAATATGATTACAAATTATAACTTTGTAGGTACTATACCCATAGATTGTAAGTACCGTAACAACCTACCATAGATTTGATTTTATATTACGACAACATTTTCTTATGTTTATCAATATTAAATAGATTAAAAAAATTCCAAAATATTTTGAACATTTTTATGTATTTAAGTTTATTTTTTAGAGTTACACCAAAGCATAAAATTGATTTTTTCTAAAAATGGTTTTGCATAAAAATCTTAGTTTTTCCTTAATTGTTGGTTTATTTTTCTTGATGTTTTTGAAAATTCTGGGAATTTTTTACTTTTGACCCACCAAAGTACTAACTAGATTCTTTTTAATGTTGAAGTAGAAAAGCTGTTAGGCATTTTTACTGCACCAAAATGTGATGACACAAAAATATAAACATAAACACAAATAAACACAAATATATTTATACCAGATATTTTCTATATTTAGTATATAGATTTACAATAAATAGTTTAAATTTAAATATAATAATAATAATAATAATGACACTGTTTAACAATTATAAACTATAATAGCCTATATTAGTGATATTCAATATATTATACAATATAAAAACTTATATAGATACTGTTTTATTTTACGGCTGTGTTAAGCAAAAATCTTATAAAATATTAAATGTTATATAAATTATTATTTATGATATACCAAAATATTATTACTTTTTTGAGATGTTGATCATGAATATTGTAAAAATATAAATTACACTTAAGTAAACTTGGTGTGTGAAGAAAATTATTATTGAATTAACCAATAGTGTTAAACAGTTAAATAATTAACATAATATAGTCATAGTTGTACATCATAAAGTACTGTTTAGACTTATACTATATATTAATAATATAAAATATTATATTATTATATATTCATCAATAAAGGTTGACTATCCGTTTTACATAATTAAACATATTATAAATTATTATATTATTATTATATAATATTAATAGTGTAATGTAATTTAATTAGTTATAACTTATTATATTAGAAATATAAGTATTTTTTGTTGTTGAATGCGAGAGACCAACAATATCTTAATATGGTATAAATAATACACAATACTTTGGTATGATAGAAAACTCAATTAAGTTTAAAAAAAATTTCTGTGTTTATCTATATGTTTATACCATATATATATATATATACATAATATATAATATGTACATAGAACAAAATAAATCTGCTTGGATACAACAATTTAGCCATTAGTATTAATCGTATGTGTTTATTAAATATGCATTATATTTGTATGATAGGTAGTCATAGGCATATGATATATCTCAAGGTATGTTTGAATCAATATTTAAACAAAACAGTTCAATACAATATTTTATAATATTGAATTAATATCTATTTATTTTGATAAGTTTAATTAATTCAAAAATATTTTTTTCGTTTGTTATTGTGTAGATATAAATTTTTAACTTAGTTCAGCAGCTCAACCACTATTGGCTGAATGTGTGTCTCTGTCCACTCAATACACTAATGTCAGCTTCAGAAACACAGTTCAAAATCAAAATACTGCCGTACATATTGCAGCATATGTTGGATTAAGTCAATATTGAGAGCCCACCCAAATTAAACATCAATGGTAAACCTTTTTTACAGCATTAGGTTTCTTTACAAACACATTAAAATCATAAAAATTTATAATTTTAATTTTGTATCTATACTTTTAATCATAATATGCAGAAAAAATGATTTAATGAGCAGTATTACAAAATAACATATACATAAATATAACACCTATGTGTGTTTTAATTTGTTTTCAGGCCAACTGGAGTACCTCATCGCCTTCGTCACCCTCGTGGCCCTGTGATTTCGTGATTTCTTCAATCGTTAAAAAAACCAATTCCTGAGGGATCTGTTACTGGCAGTCATCTATTTCATATCTTTATATTTACATAATTCATGTCTTTTTTTTTTTTTAAAAAAAAGGAAGTAGGTTTTTAAAACAAAATTAGCTTGAACCAACATCAATCCTAATAATTATTTTAAAATATTGTATATATTAGGTACTCAATATTGTTGAAAACCATTTTATATTTTGTATTAAAATAGTTTTAAACAGTAGTTTTTTTAAAACTTATTTATATTATGTACAACTCAATATAAGAAAACCAGTGTACATCATTATTCAAATTGTTTAACAATAAGAACATTTTCATGCATTTTATTAATCTCATTAAAACAAATAATTATTTCATAAAATGTTTACAATTTATAGTTTTAGTTATAAAAAAAAATGAGAACTCTTGAAAATGTCGATAAACATTTATTATTCTAATTTTTCGCCTTCAAGCGATCATATTTTAAAAGTATTATTATTATATAGGTAGATTTAATGTCCTACAACGTATGTCAATGCGTTAGCTTTTATGCAATATTTTTATTTTAATACAATGTATAAGCATTTTAAATTGTAAAAGTTCACACACTCACATAAACATTAAAATATCGTAAAAAAGTGAACACACAGGTAATGTTCATTACTTAAAGTTTGATAGTAAGTGAATTCACTCTAGTATTAAAAGTAAATAATAAAGGATTGGTTCTGCTAAATGTAAATTTACTATGTTGTGTGTGGATCAGAGAGAGAAAACCCATTAATTGTACATTATAGTTTGTAAGAGTATATGGTCATATGATATTTATATGTATAAAGATGTGTATCGTATGCTAACAATATGTTTCATTTATATGTCAGTATATAAGTTACCTGTTTAATATAATATTCGGGAGTTGTGATAATGATGTGTATATGATATGTTTGTATGTATGTATGGATCGGTGGAGTACGATTGCGCGCGTTTTACCTTTTTAGGCATACGATTGCCGGAATAACAAATAATCACGCTTTTGACTATTCAAAAGCGTATGATTGCGGGTGAAATTGGATGTGACGTTGCCAAATTAGTATTTAAATATAAAATTATTATTATTATTTTCGGTATTACCGATATTTTAATCGGTTTTTTTTATTATAAAAACCTAACAAATATGTGGAGCGTGTAATACTATAATATGTCTTAAACATTTTGTAGTCATTGTCTTATTTAGTTGTTGGTATATTTAAAATAAAAATATTTAAAAATAAATCATAATAATATAGTCGGATATTCTATAATAATAATAATAAATATATTTGTATATACTCTATAATCTATAGTATACTGTATAGTATGTAACAGGGATCTCCAAACTACGGCCCGCGAACAAGTTTTAACCGGTCCGTTCCAAAGTAAATTTGGATAAAAAAATTATTTCAAAAATGTATTTATATTATATTATATTTATACCTATTTATTTTTATTTAAGTATATTGTAAAGTAAACAATATTTTATACAAAAATATAAAGTAAACTTATTATTTATATAGGTGCATATATTATCATAAAATTAAAAATTATATGTGTAAATAAACTTTTTACCCGCTGAGAGCATTTGATTTTTTTTGTGACCCTTGAATAAAAAAGTTTGGAGACCCCTGGTATGTAATACAAATGGTTAAAATTAATTTATTTAATATTTAGTTGAGTTTAATATTTCAAATAACAAATGAGAATATGTGTGAAGTGTGAAGTGTGAGCAATAAACTATGAAGGAACTATAAGTATAATTGTATGTAAATAGTTATTAAAAATGCTGTAGGTAGTCAAAAAGGCCGCAATAACAAAAACACAAAGCAGTGACCAGGGGGGGTTTAAACTTTAAACACCCCCATTGAAGTTTCACCCGCTAATAAATATATTGTTTATAGTGTTCGGGACTGCTTGAATGTTTTATTGCAATGGTCGTAGATTAATTTAGATAAGTTATAAATTTGTCTTATGAAATTTTTTTATATATCTCAATAATCTTAACAAAATTTGAATTTGCATATTTTAGGAAAAGTGTACATTTGAGTGATTTTTCGTATATTTTGCATTTTATAACTTAAATGTGCATACAATCGTCGGGAAAAATCATATTTGGATAACATTGAAAAGTATCTTTAAAAACATTATGTTTGGTTAGGAAAAATAGGCAATCATTTTGAGATTTGGGAAGGCTGAAGCCTAGAACCATACAATTATAAAATTGAATAAGCTTAAACAATTTTAGTAAATGTTTTGGAGGGCTGTTGCCTGTTAAGGTTGTTGGTAGAGCTTGGCTACGGTTGGCCCTATTTTCGCATATGGTACGTAAGATAAGTCTATATGAT